ATGTTAACATGTAAAGGATAAAACTAGATCCCTATATCTTACCTTGTATCAACTCCAGTGGATCAAAGACCTCAGTATATGACCTGATACCCTGAAACTGACAGGGAAAAAAAAACCAGGGACTACACTTAAATGTATAAACAAAGGTAAAGAAATTCTGAAAAGGACCCAGGTAGCTCAGTCAATGAGATGGACAGTCCACAGAAAGGATCTCGTGACACTAAATGGCTTCTGTAGAGCAAGGGTAACTTTTGAGTGAAGATGCAGCTCACAGAACAGAATAAAATGTTTGCCTGATATATTTGCTTCTGATAGAGGACTAGTAACAACAGCAACAAAACTAAAACAAGACAAAAATAAACTAGAAAACAAACTACCTAATTAAAAAATGGGCATTGGAACTAAACAGAGTTCTTTCGTTCTTTTTTTTTCCTTTATTTTAAAACAATCTTATCTTACACACCAATCCCAGTTCCCTCTCCCTGCCCTCCTCCCACTCCTTCCACCATCTCCCCACCCAGCCCCCAATCCACTTCTCAGAGAGTGGTGAATCATCAAAATCTGTCACATCATTTGGGGCAGGACCAAGGCCCTCCTTACTGTATCTAGGCAGAGCAAGGTATCCCCCCACAGGGAATGAGCTCCAAAAAGCCAGTTCATGGATAATCACTGGTTCCACTGCTAGTGGCCCATAGACTGCCCGAGCCTCCCAGCTGTCACCCACATTCAGGAGGCCTAGTTAGGTCTTGTGCAGGCTCCCCAGCTGTCAGTCTGGAGTTCATGAGTTCCCACTTGCTCTGGTCAGCTGTTTCTCTGGGTTCCCCAGCATGGCCTTGACCCCTTTGCTTATGTTATCACTCATTCCTCTCTACAACCTGAGCTCAGAGTTTAGCCTAGTGCTTGGCTGTGCTTCTCAGCACATGCTTCCATCAGCTGCTGGATGAAGGCTCAATGATGGCATTTAAGGTAGTCATCAGTCTTATTATAGGAGAAGGACATTTAGGGTAGCCTTTCCACTATTGCTTAGATTCTTGGTTGGGGCCATCTTTGTGTATTTCTGGGAACTTCCCTAGTGCTAGATTTCTCCTTAACACCATAATGGCTCCTCTATCAAGGCATCTCTCTTTCCTTGCTCTCCCTGTCTGTCCTTCCCCCAACTCCACCTTCCTGGTCCTAGATTCCTCACATTCTCCTCCTTCTTCCCCTTCTCCCCTCCCCACTCTCCTACTCCCCCTATGCTCCCAGTTTACTCAGAAGATTTTGTCTATTTCCCCTTCTGCACAGGGGCAGTGGGGAGTGGGAGGTGGGGAATGGGGGATAGAATGGGGAACTTTGGGGTGGAGGGTGTGTCCATGTATGTCTCTCTTAAGGTCCTTCTTGTTTCCTGGCTTCTTTGAGGTTGTGAACTGTAGGCTGGTCAAATTATCCTTTGCTTTATGACCAATATTCACTTATGAATTAGTACATACTGTGTTTGTTTCTCTGTGTCTGGGTTATCTCACTCAGGGTAATTTCTTCTAGTTCCATCCATTTGCCTGTGAATTTCAAGATGTCATCCCCCCCCACCACTGAGTCGTACTCCATTGTGTAGATGTACCACATTTTCTTTATCCATTCTTTGGTTGAGTGGCATCTAGGATGCTTCCAGATTCTATTACAAATAATGCTGCTATGAACATAGTTGAACAAATGCCCTTGTTGTATGAGTGTGCATATGCCAGGTATATGCCCAAGGGTGGTATTGCTGAGTCTTGAGGTAGATTGGTTTCCAGTTTTCTGAGAAACTGCCATACTGATTTCCTAAGTGGCTGTAAAAGTTTGTAGATGATAAATAGGCTGAGAAAGAAATCATAGAAACATCACCCTTCACAATAACCACAAACAACATAAAATGTCTTGGGATAACTTTAACCAAACAAGTAAAAGACCTGTATGACAAGAACTTCAAGCCTTTAAAGAAAGAAATTAGAGAAGATACCAGAAAATGGAAAGATCTCTCATGCTCTTACATAGGTAGGATCAACATTGTAAAAAATGGCAATCTTACTAAACGTAATCTACAGATTTTCAGCGCAATCCCCATCAAAATTCCAGCACAGTTCTTCACAGACCTAGAAAGAAAAATACTCAACTTTGTATGGAAAAACAAAAGACTCACAATAGCCAAAACAAACCTGTACAATAAAGGAACTTCAGGAGGTATCACCATCCCTGACTTCAAGCTCTACTATAGAGTGATAGTAATGAAAACAGCTTAGTATTGGCACAAAAACAGACAGGTAGACCAATGGAATTGAATTGGAAGACCCTGATATTAATTCACACACCTACAAACACCTGACTTTTGACAAAGAAGCTAAAACTATACAATGAAAAAAAGAAAGCATCTTCAACAAAGGGTGCTGGCATAACTGGATGCTGACATGTAGAAGACTGCAGATAGATCCATGTCTATCCCCATGCACAAAACTTAAGTTCAAATGGATCAGCGTTATTTTTAAAATTAATTAATTACTTTTTCATGTATTTATTCTTTATATTGAGCTCTACTTTTTCCCACTCCCCTTTCCTCATCCTATCTCCCCTTTTACCCTCCTACACACTCATGTGCTCCCAATTTACTCAGGAGATCTTATTCCCACCTCTTCCTAGGTCGAGTCATTTATGTCTCTCTTAGGATCCTCTTTTCTACCTAGGTTCTCTGTGGTTGTGACTTATAGGCTGATTGTTCTTTGCTTTATGTGTAACGTCCACTTATGTGTGAGTATATATTATATTTGGCTTTCTGGGCCTGGGTTACCTCACTCAGGATGGCGTTCTCATGTTCCTTTCATTTGTCTGGGTGGTGGTGCCATACACCTTTAATCCCAGCACTTGGGAGGCAGAGGCAGGCCATTCTTTGAGTTCAAGGCCAGGCTGGTCTACAAAGAGAGTTCCAGGGTGCTCAAGGATGTTACACAGCGAAACCCTGTCTCGCAAAAAATAAAATAAGTAAATAAAGAAAATAAATCACCTTCTGAGATATCATCTTATGCCTGTCAGAATGGCCAAGGTCAAAAACACTGATGACAGTTTATGCTGGATAGGGTGTAGAGAAAAGGGAACACTCCTCCATTGCTGGTGGGAGTGCAAACTTGTACAGCCGCTTTGGAAATCAGTATGGCTGTTTCTCAGGAAATTGGGAATCAGTCTACCTGAAGGCCCATCAATACTTTTGGCATATACCTGAAGTATGCACACCCATACCACAAGGAAATTTGCTCATCTGTGTTCATGGCAGCATTATTTGTAATAACCAGAACCTGGAAACAACCTAGATGCCCCTCAACTGAAGAATGAATAAGGAAAATGTGGTACATTTACACAAAGGAGTACTTAGCAGCAAACAGACTTCTTAAAAGAAGCTCAAATGACCAGGGAATGCTTTAAAAAGTATTTAACATCATTACTCTCACAAAAACTCAGATGTAAACATGGCTCATGTATTCCAGAGTCTCACTTGTGTCATCTATGTCATCATCTGTTATTTATATCATGTTAATGATAATCTATCAATTTTCTTGTAGATGCTATAAATTCCAGCTTCTTTATGGCTGAGTAAAGTCACATTGTAGATATGAATGATATTTTTCATCAAATTAATCAGTTGATGGTGATCTAGGTGGGTTGTATATCTTGTACATTGTGAGTTCCTCACTTCCATAGTGAAACCACTAGTTACCCTCTCACCTAAGTGTGAAAAGGTTCTCTAGCATTGTTTGTCATGCATGGTCTTGGTGATAGCCTGTCTCACTGGGGTGAGATGACTTCACAGTGTTTCTTCTTTAATTTGCATTTTCCGATGGGTAAGATGTTGAACAGTTCCCAAATACTGCCAAACTGTATTTCTACATTTGAAAACAGTTCTAAACAGTTCTATTTATTCACCTGTTTATTGATTAGATGATTTTCCATATTTAATTTTTTTCTTTTGGTTTTTTGAGACATGGTTTCTCTGTATTGTTTTGGAGGCCATCCTGGAACTCGCGTTGTAGACCACGCTGGCCTCAAACTCACGGAGATCCACCTGCCTCTGCCTCCCGAGTTCTGGGATTAAAGGCGTGGCCACCAATGCCCAGCCCCATGTTTAATTTTTTGAGGGTTTCCAATGTTGTTTGTGTTAATTCTCTACCACACACCCAGTTGGCAAAGATTTCCTCCCATCCTGTAGGCTGTGTCTTGTCTCTGATTCTGCTTGTCTCCTTTGCAGTACAGGCAATCCTCAGTTTCATGTCTTCTCACTTGTCAATCCTTAATGTTTTCTTTGACCTGCTAGGATGCAAGATTAGAATGGCCAGTTATCCCTAAGTAGTGTTCGTTATCTATTTGATTTACTGTTAAAATATTCTTATGCAGTTGTGATTTACTGTAAGACTAATAGTATTTCCAGCATTATCAGTTGTATAATTTATGCAGTAATTACAACTTTGTTATAACTAGAAAGTCATAGATAACATGACCATTCTAATAAAACTTTGTGCAACTTTCAAGTTCCTCAATTTTTCTCTTTTGGATCCTCCCCAACTATTAATACAAGGTAACAATTACTCTACATCAATAGGACATATAAATCATGGGGTAGGCAATGTTTGACCTGTATATAATAGTTTATTAATCTCTAATTTAGAAGATTATGCCATAATATGGAAAATGTTCATAATACATTGAATGTGAGAACACAGATCATAAAACATGTCTTTTGAGTATGACATCATCTACATAAAAAAGCAGTTGCCAGCAAGACAGCCTTGGGGGACACTGTATCAAATATTTACAGTGCTTCCCTGGTTAGATTATGGGTAAATTTAATTCTATGTGTGTTTATTTGTATGTTCTGAATTTGTACTATGACTGTTTATTGCAGTTTTAAAAATACTCTTATATCAGAAAAAGTTGTTTATCCAGTGTTAGCAAATTGGTACATTGATACATTCTGTTTGTTTTCCTTGTTTCATGTTTAGCCGACAAGTCCCAAGTTTGGAAAAGCTGACTCATATGAGAAACTGGAGAAACTAGGGGAAGGATCTTATGCAACAGTATACAAAGGGAAAAGCAAGTAAGTTAAGTGTTTTAAAGAATATGTCACGCGTTCCATGTATCTGTTCTCCTAATATTAAATAACACCATATTTAAATAATTCAAATTTACATCATCATAGATTTTCCTGCTGTTTGGCTTCCTGGAGCCTTGGAGCCCACTTCAAACAAGTCTAAAAGCTAATGAAAGTGGTTTTCCTGAGACAGGTGGTCCTGCAGACTTCTCTAATGAATGTATCTTACTATTTATTTCTCAGTGGAGTAGAACTCTCACATGAGAACTATTTTCCAGTTGAATGAAGCAATTACTTTCTCATGGTAGTTTAATATTTATTTTAATTTTTTCCACTTTCCCACTTATTGAAAATAGATTCTTCTCTCATACAATATATATTGATCATACTTAACTTCTATATATACATATATATACATACATATATATATTGATCATACTTAACTTTTTTATTATATATATATGTATATATATATATATATATTGATCATACCAGACTCTGAAAATCCCTCATGGAAGGCCTTACCCTCCCTGGGGAGCAGAAGGGGGATGGAGTGGGGTGGGGAGTTGGGAGGAGTGAGAGGCTGGGGAGGAGGGGAGGAAAAGGCACCCGAGAGTAATATGTGTAAAAAGTTAAATAAAATAAAAAATATATTGATCATACATACTCAGGAGGCCCACAGAAATACTGAGTTCAAAGCTATAGTATGTGTACAGAGAACCTGGTGCAGTCCTGTGTAAGGCCTGTGCTTGCTGCTCAGTCTGTGAGAGCTCAAGTACGCCTTGCTTGGTTGGTTCGGAGAGCCTTTTTCTGCTGGTAGTCTCTATCTTCTCTGACCTTACTCTTTCCCTTGCCTCTGCTCCTCTCCTGGGGTTCCCTGAGCTCTGAGGTGAGGGACTTCATGGAGACCTCTCATTTAGACTCTCTCCAGTAACGTCTGACTGTGGGTCTCTGCACCTGCTTCCATCTGCTGCCAGAGGAAGCCTCTCTGGTGATGACTGAGTAGGGCACTGATCTATGAGTATAGCAGAATATCGTTAGGAGTCATTTTTATTGATTTTGTTGTTGTTGTTTTTTAGACCCGTAGTGTTAGGTTTTACCCGAGGTCTCTGGGCTATCTAATCTCTGGTTCTTGGTCACCTAAGTGGTGTCGGGTATGGGCTCTGTGTGGTGCAGTAGGCCTTAGTCAAATCAGACATTGATTGAAGACTCCTACAAGTCCTATGACACTGCTGCCCTAGCCTGTCTGGACAGATTGTAAGTCAAAGGCTTTATGTAGGTGTTGGTATTTATGTTTCTCCTTTGTGAGCTTTCAGAATACTTTCCTGCATCAAATATACCAGACTTTAGCTGGACTTCTCTATGTTTAATGAGTTGTGTGGATGTTGTATTCAGCAATGATACCCCACTGTCAGTTTGCAGAGAGAAAACTGACATTGTCCATTGTCTTAGCATCAGCCAGGGTTTGTTTTTGGATTTTCATGTGATTCCCTTGGCCAGTAAATGAAATTGAATGCAACCCAGTTCCTGCATCGGAAGCCTCGTTTAGTAACAAGAGCTGGCCAGTTGACTGTATCCCCCATTATTAGGAGACCTCATTAGGATCGCCTCCATATATTTTAGGAAGTTTCCACTGCACTGGGTTTCCATATCCTTCCTTAAATGACCTTCAGTCTCAGCTGCCTCTCCCTGCATTCTCTCCCCCCCTCCTCCCCTCCCTCTTCCTATCTGATCTTACCTTTCCTGTCTCCAACTGCCCCAAGTCTACCCATAAAATCCATTCTATTTCTCCCTCCCACTCTACACCCTTTCTATATATCTAAGCTTTCTGGGTCCATAGATTGTAGCATGGTTATCATAAACTTAATGACTAATGTCCACATAGAAAAGAATATATATCATATTTACCTTTCTGGGTCTGGATGATACTTTCTAGTTCCATCAATCTGTCTGCAAATTTCACGATGCCATTATTTTAACAGCTGAGTAATCCTCCATTGTGTAAATATACCACTTTTTCTTTATCCATTCTTCTGTTGAAGGGCATGTAGGGTTTAGAATAAGTATAAGTGATCTAAATCCAAACGTATTGTCATTGTTGGCATCCTTTTGTATTAAACATATATTTCACTGTTCTCAAGTCATTTACTTTAAAATGGTAAGCTTTCATTTTCTTCCTTTGTACCTTTCTCCTGTGTAGTGTGGAGAGTACCTTCCTATATGCAAGATGCTAGTCTTTAGTCATGAACCTAGGTAGGAACCAGCTGAACTTCATGTTCAATGAGTTGTTTAAGTACTGTTTTTAGGAATGGGGCTGTGCTATCAGTTTGTGGAGAGCAGCCTATAATTTTAGCAACAGCCTGGGGTGTTTGGGGGTTCTAATGGGACCTCTTTGACCAAAAACTCAATTAGATGTAACCCATTCCCAGATGGCTAGTTGGGGCTATGTCTCACATATTATTTGGTGATTCCATTTAGAGTGCTTTCATATATGATTGTGGTGGTTTAAAAGAAAATGGCCCGGAGAGTGCCTTCAGGATCCTGCCCAGTTTGAATTCCTGTTCTGACTTCCTTCAATAATGAATAGCAAGTGTAAGCTGAATAAACCTTTCCTCCCCAACTTGCATTTTTGTCATGGTGTTTTGTTGTAGCAATAGAAATCCTAAGTAAGATAGCCCTCTTTTGGGTATGTGGTTGGTAAGCATCTTTTCCCATTCTGTAGGCTGTTGTTTTGTCTGAATGATGGTGTCTTTGCCTTGCAGGAACTTTGCAGTTTCATGATGTCCTATTCATCAGTTGTTGACTATTAGTGACTGTGTTAATGGTTTTTTGTTCAGAAGTCTTTTTCTCTGCTAATGAGTTCAAGGCTATTCCTTATTTCCCTTTCTCTCACTTTCATTTAATCTGGTTTTATGTTGAGTTCTTTGATCCATTTGGAGTTGAGTTTTGTACGGGGTGACAAATATGCATCTATTTTGAATCTTCTACATACAGCTTTTGTTGGACCTTTATGTGGTTTGGATATTAGAGTCACTGTGGCCTCATGCAATTAACTGGGCAATGTTCCTTCTGCTTCCATATTGCAGAACAATTTGAGGAGTAGTGGCATTAACTCTTCTTTGAAAGTCTGCTAGAGATCTATGCCAAAATCCATCTGGCCTTAGGCATTTTTTGGGATGGGGTGGGAAAATTTTATTGACTGCTTCTGTTTCCCTAGGGCTTTAAGTCTGTTTAAATTGCTTATCTGATCTTGATTTAACTTTTGTAGGTGGTATAGAGAAAAGTATTCCTTTCGTGTAGATTTTCTAATTTCCTGGAGCACAGGTTTTTCCAGATTTGATGTTTTAAAAAGCCTTCTTTAACATATTTCTGAGGATTCCTTCTCCCACACTTTCCCATCTCTGAATGTTAGGAAGTAACTGTATTCAGTGACAAGAAGCTTGTAGGAAACTTCTGTTTTAGGAATAACTCAAGGTCAAAGCCTTGTTTCACCTTAATAACTACCAAATGATGCTGAAAATAATTTTCCAAACCATCCCTTTTGTAGCATCTTTATAAAATGTTTGACAGAAACTTTAAGGAGAACAATTCATGGAAAATTTTGACTCTGGTTTAATTTAAGTAAGAGAGTATGTGTGTGTGTGTGTGTGTGTGTGTGTGTGCATGTGTGTGTGCTCATTTTTTCTTCAGGTTTTTAAGTGAAGAGGATTAAATATTCCCTATAAAGATAATTTCTAAGAAATGCAGAAACATACTGTTAAAACTAGCAATTGTGTTAACTTTCAGTGCTGTTAAAGGACTTGTTTTTTCAATATGGAGTCAATATGATAGGGCATAAAAAAAGTGTAGCTAGATAACTATGCTATTAATGCCTTACTCAATCCTCTTGGGAGCATGGAAAGTTAGACTGATGCTCTGTAGGGTGAAGCTAATCTTTCCAGAGGTTGTATCCCAAGATGTTTATTCTTTCATAAAGAAAATTAGGTAGTATTCATTATATAAAACTACTTGTACATTTAAGATGAATCGTGTGCTGCTAACTAGACATTCTGAAACAAGTATTTGGTGGAAACCACACTATTTTTACTTCATTTTCCTCTTGCAATGACCTACATGATCCTTACCATCGCAATGATCTCCATCTCACCCGACAGTAGTCTTGTTGCAGGGACTTCCATCAGCTTTTTGTGCTCACACATGTTATTAGTAGCAACACTTGTTTAGCTCATGTCTTTTTGACTATAAGACATATTGTTTCCTAATCACTAAACCATTACTTCTTATTATACATGCTGTAAAGCCTTGGAAAGATTTGGTCCTTGTTGAATAATGCAGATGGTTTTTACATCTGCTCTGTCTTGTCTCAATTGTGATTCAAACAAAAGCAAACATATTTGATGATAAGGTAACAACCAAGCACTTACAACTGCCTGCCCACAAAAGATATGTTCAGCTAATATGCAGGTTAATAACTACTACATTTTTAACATGAAGATTTATTTCAAAATCCTAGAGAGTGTTGAATATTTTCCCATTTATTGTTCTTGAATATAAAGAACTTCACCAGTGCCATTACTGTTCGAGAAGGATACTTCTGGACAGTTGATAGCTTTCATTCCAGTAGTTTTAAATTTATCTTGTCAGCATTTCTCGAGAAGTCTCAAGCCTGCTGGTCACATGTAGAATTTAACTTCCTCCATCAAGAGAGGAAAACCATCGCCTACTCATCAGATTTAAGAAATGATAGGCTGTCTGGGCTCCCTTTATTTTGGGTGGCAAGGTCTGCATAAGACAATAGCTATGCAGTTGTCCCACAGAAGATTATAAGAGTTGAGTTTGAGCCGGGCATTTGGTGGCCTTTAGTCCCAACACTCATGAGGCAGAGGCAGGCGCATCTCTGTGAGTTCGAGACCAGCCTTGTCTACAGAGCAAGTTCCAGGACAGCCTCCAAAGCCATAGAGAAACCCTGTCTCGAAAAAAATAAAAAAGAGTTGAGTTTGTCTGGT